TGCAATGCGTGATGATCAAATCAGGAAAGTTAGCATATTCATCATCACAAAATTTATTATTTATTTTTGGTGAGAGCATTTGAGCTCCTCTTCCAGCCATTTGAGAACATACAATAAATTATTGTTAATTACAGATGCTACTGTAGACCACTAGAACTTATTTTTCCTATCTAAATGTAATTCTATATCTGTTAACCAACCTCTCTCTCTATCTCCTCCCCCTTCCCCTTCCCAGCCTACTGTCTACTTCTATAAGTGCAACTTTTTTTAGCTCTCGCCTGTGAGTGAGAAAATGTAGTATTTATCTTCTGTGCCTGACTTATTTTACTTAACTTAATGTCTTCCACATTGCCAGAATAACAAGATTTCATTCCTTTTTATGGGATAGTATTCCATTGTGTATATTTAGTGCACTTTCTTTATCCATTCGTCTATTGATGGATACCAACAGGTTGATAACTGTTGATTCCATACCTTGGCTATTTTGAATAGTGCTATAATAAACATAGGTGTGGGGGGCAGGTATTTCTTCAGTATGCTAATTTCCTTTCCTTTGGAGAAATACCCAGGAATGGCATTGATGGATCGTATGGTAGTTCTATTTTTAGTTTTTTGAAGAAACTCCATACTGTCTGTCATAATGGCTGCATTAATTTACATTCCCACCAACAATGTACAATGTTTTATTTTATTGTATATGTTATTAAGGTTATAAAATCCAAAAAGGCAGATACCATACATTGTACAGCACACCATTTATGTTTTTTTAGATTTATAAGCTTTATAAATATTTATAAAATATATCTCTTAATTATTAAATATAAAGTAGTTCCAAATTTATTAATTTTTAATTCTACAGTTTTTATAAAACAAATGTCTTTAATTTTCTTGCTTTCTTTTTCAAATTGAAAGTCTGTATTATTTTTTCAGATTATGAGTAGTATAAAGAAGATGAAGATACTCTGCTTTTTCTGGCATCTGTGTATGTAACAGGCACTTATATTTTCTCTCAATTCAAAACATGATAAACAATAAAGGAATAAACATAGAATACTTTTATTTTCTAAGTAACTAGAAGAAAACTTAATTATGTAAGCCTATGTTGTTTTACAAATAAATAAGCTGAATATTTTTTAGATTAAGCTGCCTAATGAAACAATGCCCTCTAAAGAATCAGTTTAAGATTTTTTCTCAGCAAGCATTTGATTGTGGCTGATGTTGAGGTCAAGGG